GAATAGCAAGTATAAGGCACTGTGCCAGGATGACAGGTCACAGAAGAAAGGGACGTTTTATTTTGCCCACATTTCGAACCAGGAGCCTGCATTTCATGTTGCACGGGGCCCTGCAAATCCATGGCCAACCCCGGTCCTGGGACTCCCACCGATAACACGCTAGTCACCATCACGCAGGCTCTTCCCAGCGCACACCTACACCTCACAGCCCTGGGCTGCGTGCATGTGTGAGAGGCGTGGCTATGCGGTGCGTAAACGTGGCTGTTGCCCTGTGGTGCCGTCACTGCGTGGTGACCAGTCGGTGGCCAGCCCACTCCCCCAAGTGCTCGGCTCCACTTGCTGCCTCACGCCACACGCCAGCCGTGCCGTTTCTTCCTGTCGGCTGGTGTCCACTCTGGGTTTGTTTTAGCCCAGGGAACACGTGGTGGCTTCCGAACAAAAAGGCTTTACTGTTTTCTTCCCCAACCACCAGGGCTGAGCGGGGGTCTTCAGGGTGGGGAGGGATGCTTATTCCCGGTGACCCCACCATCGGTGCCTGAGCAGGGCTGGCCGAGCCCAGAGGTCTCTTAAGGGGCATCTCTGGTCCACAGGAATGTGTGTGAACAAACCTCCCACCACAGGTGTAAGCTGTCGCCCACTCACAGCACACGGGAAGGAGGGGACGGCAGAAGAGTCAGGGTGCAGAGCCCTGTCCCGCCACGTGTGGTCACACCAGGACCTGCTGTCGCCAGCACTGGGGCCGGCGCCCCTGCGGGAACATGACCCTGCCCTGTGTGGCTGGGTCAGAGGCTCCAAAATTCTCAGCAGGAAATCCGTGTGCTGAACCCCTTAACCTGGCCGCTTCCGTGGCTGAGGGTGGAGCACAGGTGGGCCGTGGTAAGGACCCGCCCTTCCAGAGGCAGAAACTGTGTTTTGTGGGCGTGGACCACTCCCAAGAGCTGTCCAGCAGGTTTGCCGGTTGTGAAATAGAAGTCAAGGGCAAACACCACAGCCTCATCAGATAGGAAAGAAAACAGAGAAAAACTCCGAGCACTCGGGAGAAACCCCACTGGGAGGGACTGTAAAGTCCTCTTTGGAGGGGTCCAAGGACTCTCTGTTCTCCCCAAACTTGGGTCAAGCCATCTCCCTAAGCGTGGCCTGTATTCCCCACGCCAGTCTTTCCGAGCTGCTGGCATAAACACATCCGAGTAGGCCTTTGGGTAAATGCTAGTAAATGGATAAGGACTGAAAAGAGATAAGTGGTACGTTTATGTTGTAAAAATTAGCTTAAATATGACTTTCTTTCAAATTGACCCCATGCACCGCTCACATTGTTACGTGACTAAAGGCTCCTACATAGACCCACAGCCCATCTGCAGACTAGCGGGTGTGAATAGAGCTAAAAATGATTTTAATTGTAAAAACACTCATCTTGAGCGATGAGTTACACACATACTCTGAATAGGACAATTTCTCAAAGTTCTTATTTTAATAGCAGTTTTAAAAACAGCCACCTTGCATTGAACACTCCCCTCGAATTCCCCTTTCAGGCGAACTGGGTACACATGCCCGTTGGAGAAGTTACATTTCAATTACACTGAGTCCCAAGTTCGCCTTGTGCCTGCGCGGGGCCTTGCTATTGCTCATCTCACGCAAGGAGAAGAGCTAAATGGAGTGGGCGTGAGCTTATTTACTAGTAATTGTCCTGACCCTGTCAGAGGGATGACATTATAATCTCATTTCTGAGGAGATAAAGAAATCGAAGAGATGGAGAGATAGGCGGCTTTGCCCAGGTCCATCCCTGCTGGCAGGGCGCCAGACGGGCACTCGAGTCCACAATGACCGGCATCCAGAGACCTTGCTCTAAGCCACCACACTCTGCACCTCCGCCTGCTGTACTTGGGACAGTCCGTGTCATTTCTGGGTTATGACCTTGGGACAATCCTAGGGAGACACTGGCCCTGCCCTTGTGGGACTGAAGTCAAAGAGAAGTGAGCTTTGCTTTTCATTTATTCCCCCAGGCCTTGCCCCTAGCACCTCGCCATTAGCACCTCGCCCATTAGCACTTTTCCATTAGCACTTTCCCCATTAACACCTCACATCCACCCTCTGGGGAAGGTGCAAACTTGGATGCCAGTTAAAGGAAACGCCTTAGATTTCCTCCCAAGCAGACTACAAGGCATCTCCCTGTTGTGACTGGCCCACTTCATTCCCGGTTTCCTGTTCAGTGAAAGGAGAGACTTGGCTATCAGAACCGCCTGAATGTCTGTCTAGCAGCAAAGGTCCCCTGAAGGCTCCTTTGCACGTGTCCATTTCTAGGGGGAGCTCTGAGCAGCCGCAAACTCAGAGGCAGCTGGGTGACTCCAGGGCACCTTCCCTCCTCCCTGGGGAGACCCGGGAATGGGGCAACTTACGAAGCAGATACTCAGCCGTGTCCTGTTCATAGTCAGCATCATCTGGGAAGTGGTCGATTTTCTTGCAGACCCCTCGGAACGCCCCTGTGGGAACAAACATGGTCCTGAGCGAGGGTGACGAGGGGGTGTGGGTGGCGGGGGCGGGGGGGAGCAGAGTCTCTGCCTGGACCCAGCCCCACTCCTCAGCCCCATGGTGAAGACCCGCCTGGGTTGTTGGGGTTGTGGTGGGATGTGTGGAGGCTGGCCCATCAGCATCTTTCTTAGGGCACAAAAAGGAGCCAGTAGAGGAAAACAAGAAGAAACAGACAGGAATTTTCTGTTTTCTAGATGCTGCATGGTGTTGGGATCCATTTAGAAGAGCAGAGAACTATGAAGCACAGGCACTCATGTTGAGGACTGTCCTCTTTCCTTTCTCCCAACCAGCTCGGGAACCGGGAGAAGGGCGCGGAACGTCACATAGAACTTCCCTGCCCGCCTCGCAGGCGCTGAAGATGGGCATAGGCATTTGCTTGTGCCCACCAGGTGAAGGCAGCACTGGAATTCCCATCCAGATGTGCTGGCTCCTGGGGACAGGTTCCAGGCCCCCCAGGAGGAGCCACTCCCCCAACAATGGGCACGGCTGGCACAGGACCACCCCCCCTCCCCTGACAGACTCTAAGGCTCACCCTTCTGGCAGCTGCATGGCTGCATCTTGGGGAAAGTGACTGTCAGTATTTCCCTTCCTTTTCTTTCCTCAACATCAGCTTGACTTAACTCATTGTGGGTGTTTGATAGTCGATGTGGGTGTTTGTTAACTACCCAATTAACCGATCTCTGGGGGCAGCTAATGGCTCCGCCAGTTCTTATACATGACAAACAACTCCAGAACTTCTCACCACAGCAGCACGGGATTGTGCGTTAGCGTTCCGGTCTCTATCACAGAGGTTGAGTGGAGGCGCAGGGCAGGTGTCGTGGACAGCGGGCAAGGTTTAGAGTCACACAGAGCCTGGCTTTTGCTGTGAGAATTACGTTAGGTGACATGTGAAGATGAGCTCATGGTTTGCAAAGCTCTGGGCATGTCAGAATAATGGTGGACACTTACCGTGCTTCCAATGGGCCAGGCACAGAGCCGAAGCCCGGCTTTCCTTCTCCACTCAGTTGGGCAGCCCCAGGCGATGGGCTATTCACAGGGACATTTGATGGTGAGGCCAGAGGACCACAGAGGGGCTCAGGCATCACCACTGGAGGTGGGGAACCTAAGCCCACGGTTTCCCATGACACTATGGATGTAACTGTTATTATGATGGGTATTATTATCTTACTAGAGGCCCGGTGCACAAAAATTTGTGCACTCGGGGAGGTCCCTCAGCCAGGCCTATGCCCTCTTGCAGTCTGGGACCCCTCGGAGGATGTCCACCTGCTCTCTTAGGCCAGCTCCCTGGGGGATCGGGCCCAAGCTGGCAGTCAGACATCCCTCTGGCAGCCCGGCAGCCCTCGGGGGATGTCCACTTACCAGCAGGGAGCAGACCTAAGCTGCAGTCGGACATCCTTAGTGCTGCTGAGGAGGCAGGAGAGGTTCCTGCCACCACCGCTGTGCTGGCAGCCATCAGCCTGGCTTGTGGCTGAGCAGAGCTCCCCCTGTGGGAGCACACTGACCATCAGGGGGCAGCTCCTGCATTGAGTGTCTGCCCCCTGGTAGTCAGTGCATGTCATAGCGACTGGTTGAGCAGCCTTAGCATATCATTAGCATATTACACTTTGATTGGTTGAACATATGACTGGACACTTGTCATATTAGGCTTTTATTATATAGGATATAATAAGGGGGCTTCGAGCCAGAGGCATCTCAGAATAAATGCGATGCACTGTGAGGCCATCCTCTTGGGCTCCGAACCAGGAAGGGGTGTCCTGGCCAAGAGACCTAAAGACTCAAGGAAAGTCTTGGGAGAAAGAAAATTCATAACTTCTTTCCTGATATTGAAAAAAAGCATTCATTGTTTTTCTTTTCACACGTCCCTGGTTGTTTTAAGCCCCCTGCCCTTCCAACTGGCTGGGTGTAAGTCGGAATAAGTCACCTGTTGAGCACACACCAAATAGCACATACCATTCTGAGCACTTTACCTGTTTTATCTTCTGTGGTTTTTTTTGTGTTTTTTTTTTTAATCTTCACCCGAGGATATTTTTCCATTGATTTTCAGAGAGTGGAAGGGAGGTAGGAAGAGGAGATAGAGGGGGAGAGAGAGAGAGATACGAGAGAGATACACTGGTTGATTGTCTCCTGCATGCGCCCTGACCCAGGCCGGGTACACACACCCTTGACTGGGAATCCAACCTGTGACCCTAAGGACCGACACTCTAACCCAGTGATGGTGAACCTTTTGAGCTCGGCGTGTCAGCATTTTGAAAAATCCTAACTTAACTCTGGTGCCGTGTCACATATAGAAATTTTTTAATATTTGCAACCATAGTAAAACAAAGACTTATATTTTTGATATTTATTTTATATATTTAAATGCCATTTAACAAAGAAAAATCAACCAAAAAAATGAGTTCGTGTGTCACCTCTGACACGCGTGTCATAGGTTCGCCATCACTGCTCTAACCACTGAGCGACCGGCCAGGGCTGTTTTGTCTTCTTTAGCTCTCAAAATACTAGTAGCTATTTGAGGCACCTGGTCGTCTAAGCCTATTTTCCAGAGGAGGAAACGGAGGCTTAGTGAAGTGAGTGCATTCCCTATGGACACAGCTCCCAGTGGCCACTCCAGGGCAAGTCTGCCCGGCTCCACGTTCCTGCCCAGCACTGTGACTGCTCTCGCTTCCGCACGCATAGAGCTGGAAGCGCAGACCTTTGCTAGGAGGCTTTGTGATAGTTTTGTGGTCCATCCGCTTGTATCAAACTGGACCAGCAGTTCTCCATCAACCAAGCTGTTCCCATGATCTACGTGGGGGCACAGAGCAGGGGGAGGGCAGCGGTTGTGTGACCACCTATTGTTAGCTGTCTTACATCCTCCAACAAAGATTTCCTGGGAAGAAGGGTTCAGCTGAAGATGAAATGCAAACCCTCCTAAGACAGACCAGCCAGAACCACGTGGTGATAAGGACCTGCGCGCATGCCTGCGCCTGCGTGTGACCTGGGCCTCCCCCAGGAGGCCTAAGGCGGCTTGAAGCGAGCGAGGACTTAGAGCGGCACACCCCGCAGCTTCCAGAGAAACAGCGTCTGTTTTTCTCACAGTCCATGAGCTAAGAATGGTTTTGCATATTCAGGTGGTTGGGAAAAAAGTCAAAAGAATAATATTTTTTCATGACATGTAAAAAACACGTGTGCAATTCAAATTTCAGTGTTTGTAAATAAAATTGTATGGGAAAAGCATTACCCCCTGTTTACAGCGTTTACGCTGCAATGACAGAGAAGGCGAGGCTGCAAACAGCCCCTGACTGTCTAGGAAAGCCTTGCCGATCCCTCATCTGAAGATCTCTGCCCTGGGTGGCGGCACAAACTCTGGAGTCTGGGCCTTCCTGGGACAGAGGACACGGCGCAGGGGGCACTCCCAGAGCAGAGGTCAGGCGCCACGGCTTGCAGAACGGCGTGCGGTCTGGGTTCTCGTTTTGCTTTGTGTGCGATATTTCGGTGCATCTTTTGTAAAATTTAAATATGCTTCTGCGGTTTGAAATTTAGGATTTGTCACATGAAAGCTTGACGTGCAGATTCTCTTTGAGGAGGAGGCGCTCTGGCCCACGTTCCCCTGGGGCAACGACCCCTGCAGGGCCCCCACCCCCCAGGCCTTGTCACCGAGGCCCCTGCGCGGATGACCTCCCGAACTCAGCCTCTTCTGCACAGTGACGACAGCCACAGCTCACGGCGCCGTCAGAAGGGACCCAGGCAGCGGTAGAGGCACAGCGCCAGCCCTGTGCTCAGCGCCTTCCTCCTGACTTAATCAGGCACCAGCGTAAGCACTTAGTGCAGTTCCTGGCACGTGGTTAGGAACTCGGTGAATTAGAGCTATGACTACCGGGGATGTCGGTAGGTATTTTAGGACCAGAAGAGACACGCTGGTGTCGTGGCGGGTTTTAAAAAGCAACATAAAGGAAAGAGAAGCAGGAGTTTCCCCGAGGGTGACTCCACGCTGAACGAAGCCGCTGGCACCTCGTCATACGCGCCCCGACAGTGGGCTGGGCCGTGCGTGTACTAGTAAGCGGCATCTTGCCGGCTCCCAGAATACCCACTGTTAGCGTGTCTGCGCTTCCTCTCGGGCTCTCTCTCCCCGAGCTTGCACACACACGTGGTTTTATAAAATTGGGCTCATGCTGCTCTTCTCAACTCCATATTCTCAGGAGTATTTCCCCATCAGTAGATCACAGGGAAGTAGGATGGGGTGGACCTGCTCCTGAACAGCAGAGGGTGGGACCAAGAGCGACGTCGGCCACAGGCACCTGCGGGCACGCAGTCGGAAGCAGAGACGGCCCTGTCCTCGCACAGTTGCAGCTAAGGCCCCGGGGGCCGAGAGCATGGGAGCCGGGAAGAGGAGCGGTGCAGCTTGGTCTGGGGGAGAGACCCAGTGGTCACAGGTGAGAGGCGATGGGAACCCGGGTGGGGCGGGCTGAGAGCGAGGCTGTGAGGACCCGGGCCCGGTAAGAGGTTTGGGATGGAGAGAGCCGGCAGAGGCTGCCTGAGACTGGCTTGGGGGGTGGGGTGGGGTCTCATCCTGGGTAGAGACGATTGTGCTGATGGTTCATCTGTGGCTCAGACAAGGGAAGCACCCTTCCTTCACGTGAGGAAGGGCACACCTTCTTAAAGGGGAATCTCAGAAATATTCCATTAGAACCAAGAACGAGAGGCGGATGCCCACCCCCACCACCACCTCTATTAGACCACGGTTCTATAAGTGCCCGGGCAAGAAGCAGTAAGACAGAGCGAAGAGTTCAAACAAAAGAGAAAAGAGGCTGAAATGACCGTTTTCCAGGTGATAGAGTGGCTACTGAGGAAGCTGAAGGCTCTGCCAGAAAAACTTCAGAGTGAATGCAAGAGCCCAGTAAGGTGACTTCTTGAGATACTAAACCACACAATGAGACTGCAATAATGAAGTCATTGTGGTCCTGACATTAAA